ATCTATCTATCTATCTATCTATCTATCTATCTATCTATCTATCTATCCATCTATCTATCTATCACTGGTCTCTGGAAATCCAGGAGATTGCCAGTGCTTGACCCTGCTCAGTCCACATGATGGTCTGGTACTGAAGGGAGGTGCAAGGGGCTTTGTGTGTGTCCCACTCAGGCTGACTTCTCATTCCTGTCCCCCAAGGCTACCCCTTCAACGATGTGTGTCAGTGGTTCATCGACAGGGCCGACCTCATCTTTGTTGTCTTTGATCCCACCAAGCTGGACGTGGGCCTGGAGCTGGAGACGCTCTTCCGCCAGCTGAAGGGACGGGAGTCCCAGATAAGGATCATTCTGAACAAGGCCGACAACCTGGCCACGCAAATGCTCATGCGGGTGTACGGAGCTCTCTTCTGGAGCCTGGCCCCTCTCATCAATGTCACAGAGCCTCCACGGGTTTATGTCAGCTCCTTCTGGCCACAGGACTATAAGCCCGACACCCACCGGGAGCTGTTCCTCAAAGAGGAGATCTCGCTGCTGGAAGACCTGAACCAGGTGATCGAGAACAGGTTAGAGAACAAGATCGCGTTTATTCGCCAGCACGCCATCCGTGTCCGCATCCACGCCCTTCTAGTTGACCGTTACCTACAGACTTACAAGGACAAAATGACCTTCTTCAGTGATGGGGAACTGGTTTTTAAGGACATTGTGGAAGATCCTGATAAATTCTACATTTTCAAGACCATCCTGGCAAAGACCAACGTCAGCAAGTTTGACCTTCCCAACCGTGAGGCCTACAAGGACTTCTTTGGCATCAACCCCATTTCCAATTTCAAACTCCTCTCCCAGCAGTGCTCTTACATGGGGGGCTGCTTCCTGGAGAAGATTGAACGGGCCATCACCCAGGAGCTCCCGGGCCTTCTGGGGAGCCTGGGGCTTGGGAAGAACCCAGGCGCTCCTAACTGTGACAAAACAGGTTGCGGCGAGGCCCCAAAGAATCGCTATAAGAAGCACTAGGTCGTGCGTAGCCATTCTCGGGGGCCCCATGGGTGAATGAGCTTGTGTCCTAACTGTCTGAGAAGTCCCGGTTTTTAGCCCTTTGAGCCATACTGGTGACAATCAGTCTGAATTGGAGATTTGGGAGTTCATTGAGGCCGGTGAATCGGGGAAGGAACAAGGGAGGAGAGTGGAAACTGTGAATTATAGTGTGCTTGTCTTATTGCTTCAGTTAGAAGGCCTGGCACAGGGCAGTCAGGCTTCCCCTGTTTTTCCTGGGTCATGTCTTGGAGGGACAGAGAGCAGCTAACTTCTAATGAATACTAAGGTAATGAGGGTCAAATAAGCTAAACTCAGTTGAAATTTCCCAAGTAATAGAGGGTTCTCAGATCAGTGTCAACTCCTTTCACACAAATCTTCTGTCCGTTCCCCATCTCTCCTTGGCTCCCTCCTAAGTTTGGGTGGATTTTCAGCAGTGGACAGTCTCTTGAGTCTGATCTTCATGAACTCGGAACCCAGCCTTGGAATCTCCTTCCTGTCTTCCCAATGGGTAGGGCATCCAGGAGACTCAAAGTTTTCAGCTTAGTGTTGGCCGGCCACTCCAGGTACCATTTCACTGATGTCTCAGTTGGAGAGCTCAGCTCGGTTGGCCCCAGAAGGAGGGTGACAGGGTGATGAACTCAAGAACTCTTCCTCCTGGAAGTGACTTACAGGAATGTGCTGGAAGGGCTCAAGGTTTAGTTGGTTTGCAGTGTGTCTTTGTCTGTTGCATGTCTTGGAAAACTCAGATCACAAAGGTGTTGATTTCAGAAAGGACATGGGGACCTTGCTCCTGGTCCTTGGAGGTTTCTCTGGACAGTCCCCTCTCTCAAGTGTCAGGGGAAACTGTTTCTACAACTTCTTTGTGGGAGCACTTGACAGAGGACATGTCTCCTCTGGTTCCCAGAAGTGTGGCTTTTCCTTCCCCTTCTCCATTCCCTGATGCACCAATACTTCCCTCTGAGAGAAATTCCCTAGACTCAGAACCAGCCGCAGCCCCGTGGCATGGGTGGCAGACAAGGCCTGAGGTTCAGGTCCAACCTGAACTTCTGCAGATGTCCACGGAATGCAGTCAGGACCGTCACACACCAGTGAGTGTGCATTTGTGTGTCCACTGTAAGCTAGGACAATAGCAGACTCGAGGGCACAGAGAAAGGACTCCTGAGAGTCTTGCATGGCAGACATACGCTGCCACCTTGGAGCGCATGGGGACATGAAGCCTTGGGGGGATGAAGGGCTTTTGGACGGAGCAGCTCAGGGAAGGTCAGACTATCTTGAGGGCTTTCTTTGAGCACAGCTGGCTGCGTTTTTTTGGGAGCAAGCTGTCTTTGCTTTTGCCTTGACTTCGAGGCATGGGTTGGGATCCACCAGTACCAGTGAGTCATCTGGAGCAGAAGGAAAGTGGGAAGGAAGGTTGAGCCAGAGCTGTTCCTTCTGAGGATCAGGTAGGGAGTAGAAGCAGATGGGTACGCGGTAGGGCTACATAGAGAACTTCAGTTTAGGAATTCACGTCTTTGAACACTTAGTCTGGCGCCAGCTGGGAGGGAGGGGAGCTGCTGCCTTGGCTGTGTGTAGGGCCCAGGATCTCCCACAAGCCACAGGCTCCAAAGCTGCCAGGACACTGTTTCCAAGGAGTGAGTTCCTTCCACAGGGTCATGCATGGAACCTGGTGGCTCGGGCAGATGAGCTGCAGTCTACCTTTTCCCATTAAAATACACATCCAACCGCAGAGCTCCTCTCATCTCTTCAGTACTTATTCTCTGGAGAGACTGTCCCCCCGCCCACCTTTCTCCTTCATGCGCCTCATGCCTGAGGGCTTTGTGTAGCAACTCTGTTTTTTCTCAGTGCAGCCAGGGGAGCTGTCCTAGCTGTCAGTGCCTGCATGCTTGGTGAGAAGCAGGTGAGACAGGCAAAACAAATTCATCCAGTATTTGTGTTGGGGGAGGGGCACTTTATCGGGGTCACTGTCCTTTTGGGTTTTCCTTCATCTATTTCTTCTTTGTCTCCATTCTGCTCCTCTCCTCACTGCCCGCGCCCACCCAATTCACGTCCCTCTCCTGCCCACGGGCTGCTGATGAGCCAGCACAGGGCTCAGCACCCATCTTTGCCCAGCTCTGCAGAGATGGATTTTGAGTAGGATTCTGACTCCAGGAGGAGGGAGAAACACGAGAACCAGAGATTCCTGAGTGGAATATCCGTGTAGGTGCTGGAACACTGGCTGACCTTTCCCGTCTTCTTTCCATCCTGGCTTCATCAGGGAGGGCGTCTCAATAAAGTTCCAATCTCTCTTCAACACCTTGTCCCTCTTGATTGTCTCCAGCCAGGTGACTCTCTTAGCTTCCTTTTACCCAGCAGAGTGTACTCATTTTCAAGTTTCTCGGGAACGCCTGCCCCTGTTGTGCATGGGTGCTGGCACCTCTTTTGGTGGTCTCTCCAGCACCGAACCTCCTGGTGCGGAAGACAACTCATTCACAGCTGGCAGCGAAGACGGCAAGGCCCGCTGCTGTCTGGCGGGAAACACAAAGAGCTTTGGCCCCTGCAGCACCTCAGTTCATTATTTCTGACACCCAGAGGAGTATCCCGTTTGAAAAGGGGTCACTGGAAGTTTCCCTCCCCAGGTCCTTCACAGAGCAGTTCAGATGGTGATAGCAGCAGGTGCATTTCCTCTACCTGACAGCTACCTCATGGTCTCTATGGCTGTGCTGGAGTACAGCCTATCAGAATATCTAGCTGTCCCAGAAATTGACCATCCCTCTACATGTGTGGACATGTGTATTTTGAACATGTCCCAACTTCCTGAGCCAGTAATCATCCCACATTTCATTGTTTTTGGTGTCCTGATCAGAGTAGAGGTCCTTTAATTTGGAAGCGTTCTGCTCTGGGATCCTCCCAAGAGGTTTCATGCCATGGTGTAAGAGCGTTAGAAAGGGAAAGATGGGGGCCCCGGGAAAGAGGGGGAAGGTTGGAAAGAATCCAAAAGGGAGATCAGGGCCACAAACCTAGGTCACACCCATAGTTATGCCAGGAAGGGTGCCAGCCAGTGGCCAAGGCCAATGTTTCTGGGGTTTTTGGCTTAGGAGGGGCTAATCCTCGGGCTAGACAAGTGGATCACGTTCTCAGTCCTCATCTGATCTTGGACATCTTTGAACAAGCGAGCACACTGAGCTGCTCACCCGCTGCAGCCCGAGCACCTTGACCTTCTCACCCGCCACAGCCCAAGCACCCTGACCTGCTCACTTGCTGCAGCCCGAGCACCCTGACCTGCTCACGTGCTGCAGCCCGAGCACCCTGACCTGCTCACTTGCTGCAGCCCGAGCACCCTGACCTGCTCACCCGCTACAGCCCAAGCACCCTGACCTGCTCACCCGCTACAGCCCAAGCATTCTGACCTGCTCACCCGCTGCAGCCCAAGCACCCTGACCTGTTTACTCGCTGCAGCCCGAGCACCCTGACCTGCTCACTTGCTGCAGCCCGAGCACCCTGACCCCTGAGCTGCTCACCCGCTGCAGCCTGGATCCTCTCTTGCCTAGGCCAGAAATATAGAGCTTTGCCCTGGAAAAGGGAGGGAAAGCAGCAAAGTCTTTTTCAAAGAGAAACACACGTTCTGCCTCAAAGTTTGCTGTTCCACAGCTCAGTATTGCCATTATGGGAGTTGAGAAAGAAACAGAAAGCTGAGAAGGCAGAACCGAAGGCCATTCAAAACACAGCCAGGAAACGTGAGGGGTGGGAATGGAAAGAGTATTTGTAAGGGCACATGGAGATGTTTTCTAACGTGTGCTTACATATATCAGGGACATGAAAACATTCAAAACATTCACGTGAAATCTGAGGGAGTGGAGGACGGGTGGAGATGTGTGCTTTTGTGGCCAAAAGACGCCCAAGTATCCAAGACAGTGTTGGGTACGCTTCACTTTTATGTTACTGGAATGAATAAAGAGATGCAGGAGGAGAAGGTGACTCGTGTGTGTGTGTGTGTGTGTGTGTGTGTGTGCACGTGTGTGCGTGCATGAACCTGGATGATTCAGCCAGGATAGAGACCCAGGAAGAGGCATTCAAGAAACACCACCCTGTCAGCCCCTGGCTTTGCAGGAGTGTTTTAGAAACCTCATAGGTACTGACAGTACTTGATGCCGATTCCCCCTCGGTGACATGAAGCTTGGGCTTTTCCTAATACAAAGAAATTGTTCTCTAGAAGATCATAAAGGCAATAAGGAGGAGGCAATGGAAAAATAAATTGCCTAGTGACTGGAACTGTATACAGGAAAGGTGTGTCCAGCAGGTTGTGCCCACCTCCTGTCCTAAGGATAAACTCTCAAGCATAAAGGAACTTTTCCCACACCTGCTTGCACTCTGGGATGTGGGTTGTCTGCCTACAATGTGTAGAGGATCCAAAGTGAGGACTGACCACTAGGAAAAGGACGTTTCTAGAGTATTTCCTTTGTGCCAGGAACTGGGCTTCAGCCCTATGGGCAAAGCACCCTTGCGTCTAACGAAGACAGGCTAATCACACTATCTGTGCTGGTGCTACGCCGCGTCTTTATGTGCACTGTTTAATTTAATCCTCATAACCCTGTAGTGAGGTCGCTGCTAGCAGAGTTCAGAACACGGAGAGTTCAGAACGCTACAGAGTCCCAGTGCCTGGAATTGACCCTGGGCTTGCCACAACGTGGCCTTGGGCAAATGACTATTGTATTTCAGTTCCCTTACTCATAAAATGGAGACACCGACAACTCCTCCCTTACGGGGCTGTGGTAGGGAGTGAACGTCTCAGTACATGCAATGTGCTAGTCTTGACATACCACACAACTCACAGACAGTGATCATAAACTTCAGTCACTGTTGCCATCATCAGTCATTCTACTAATGAGACTGACAGTCAGAGCAGCCAGGGTGAAGGCATGGGGACATGGGAGAGCTGGAATGCCACCTAGAACCCAGATCCCTGCATGGCACAGGCTAGGTTATTTGCTCAGGACCACGTTATGTAATACTGACTTTCTGTCCCTAAGCCTTCTTCACAACTTGAGAAGATTTGCTTGAGTCTTTGAGGGCTCATTCAGTACTTTGAATCTTTTTATTTTTAAATTTATTTATTTATTTGGTGTGTGTGTATGTGTGTAAGCATGTGTGTGTATATACATGTTCATGCGTGCATGTGGTGGTCAGAGGAAAAGTTTTGAGTCTGTTCTCTTCTTCTACCATCTGGGTCCCAAGGATTGACTCAGGCTATCAGATCAGCACACACGTATCTCTCCCAGCTGAACCAGCTTGCCATACCAACTATAATCTTTACTTCTTCTTTTAAATTATTACTGAAAACAGATTTTTATACAATGTACTGATTACAGTTCCCCTCCCCCAACTCTTCCCGGATCATTCCCACCCTCCTAAATACATACCCTTTATCCCTCTATCTCATTAGAAACAGACAAGTGCCTAAAAGATAATAAGGTAAAATAAAAACAAATAAACCAGAATAGGAGAGAACAAGCAAACAGAAAACAAGAAACATATATTAGAAAAAGAGCTGGGTGTGGTAGCCCATGCCTTTAGCCACAGCACTTGGCAGACAGACAGGCAGTCAGATCTCTGTGAGTTTAAGGCCAGGATGGCCAGAGCGATTTGAGTTCTATGACAGCCAGAGCTGTTACACAGAGAAACCTTGTCTCAAAAACAGAAACAATTCAAAACAAGACATACACGCACACACACATGCACACACACACACACACACACAGAGAAAGAAAAAGATCTTTTTGAGACAGAATCTCACTATGTAGTTCAGGCTGACCTTGAACTTGTTATGTAGCCTAGTCTGTCCTCAAACTCCAGATCCTCCTGCCTCAGCTTCCCAAGTGGTGGGGTTATAGGTGTGTGCCACCAGGTTCAACTCTATTATTGCCTTATCAACACTGGTTTGTGCTGACCTGGATCCTAAACCCATGGAATATTTCTCAAATATTTCTCAAATACTAATAAAGGTGATTTTGAGCTGGGTGTGGTGACTTGTGCCCGTAAGCCCAGCACCCAGGAAATTACAGTTCGAGACTCTAAAAAACAAACATCCCATAAGCAAAAACAAAACAAAAGATGGTTTGTGAAGAGTATGAAAATACATTTCCACTTATTTTAGTACTAGCGATTTTCTCAGCATTATTTCAAATGATTTGGAAGTTTTTCAGATTTATAAGGTATAATTTCTGTCCTGGGGAAGTGGCTACCTAATGGGGGATCCGAGGAACAGGAGGGGCAATGATTAGGGAGGTCTCCACGAATAAGACATTTTCCAAATCGCGTTATCAGAACACAAAGTCTGACCCAAGATTTTCTTATCAGTTTGTTTCAAGATGAGGCCTTGCTATGTTATCAGGCTGGTCTGGGATGCCTGGATTAAAGTAGTTTTCCTGTCTCAGTCTTCAAATATTTTTCCTTCTTCTCATTTGTGAAGAACCAATGAATTGAAACTGTTAAATGTTTGAACAGTAGTGTAATCAGGATTCTTCGGAGACGGCAGAACACCAGAAAGGGTGAACAAGCTTGAAGAGGGAGTAATTGTAGCTACTCTTTGAAGGCTGGACAGGATTGGTAGGTCAGCAATGGGGAAGAGGGGATGTGGGATTACACTCACAGGTGAATCCTTGTGTGGCAAAGATGACAGGAATCAAGGACAGAATCAAGGTGAGGAGTCTAGGCTACCTCAGTTGCTGAGCGGAGAACAGCATGCAGAACCGGAAGCCCAGCCAGCAGCTGCACTGCCTGTCCGTGGATGTGCTGGGCTCTATCTTCCCACTCCTCAGAGCTGGGAACATGGAGGAGAAACTCCGTCCATCAGCCTGGCCCCGTGTGGCAGCCCCAATAGACCTCTAACCCACATAGTCCATGTCTCTTTTCTGATTTCTTGTGACATTTTGGGAAACCCGTCTGGGGAAGTCAGTTAACAGGTGGCAGTGTGCGAGGAAAGGATATGATGTGCTCCTGCAGCCTGTGAGGACACGGGACTATTGTTGGTCCTCGACCTCCCCAGGGCAGGGGACGCTCGGGTGGCAGCTGGGATCCTCGCTGTAGCCACGTCAGGTTCCTCTTCCTAAGACTGCCGGGAAATGCTGGCTGTACCTGGCTTTGGCTTTCTTCCTCTGGTCGCCTCCTGAGCTTTGTGAAGAAAGGGGGCCAGTTCTGAACCAGGGTTCTGACGATGGGAGAAGTGGGGCTCCCGACTGACCTTGGCCAGTCTCTCAAGGGTACGCTTCTTTCACACAAATAGGTCTCCCTGAGGTGGGGGTCACCACTTACACT